TAAAAAATAATAACAAATTAGAAGGAAAAAAAGTCTGACATGATACGATTTAAAATAAAAACAATAATCGTGGCTTGATATTGAGTAAGAACATGTTTTTATGAAACACACAGCTTCCGGTCTTCCAAGACCCGACGGGACAAAAAGACGTGGTGCAGACACGAAACATACTACCAATAGAAATACATTGCTTTGAAAATCGTTATGGGTTGGGATGTTAGCATCACAAGGGCTCCCTTGACAAAAAACATTGAGGTTTTTGCCTTGGATCTCGGAATATTGCAGAAAATAAGATATGTGGCAAACACACGTTCATATTACTTACACCTTTTATGATTTTTGACGCATACATTCAAATGCATGAAGCAACAAGCTAACGTTAGGCTATAAACGTAATACATAACGGTCAGGGTTAGGGTTAGGTCACCAAGGCTAAGCTAAAGGCGGCTAAAGTTAAGTGTGATGTTTAATATTCTCATTTACTTAGCAACAGCTGTTTTTGAAGCATTGAACACATTGAAGCTTTAGACATTCACCAGTGGGGTATTATTAACTGACATAAAAATCTCTTAGGCTTGTGTTAACAACAGACCTTAATTCATGCGTTCAACAGAATTTTAAAAAATGACTTCAAGACAGTGGAACCGAAAGTGCTAAAAAAAAAAGACTAATTACCTGCACCTCTCTCTAAATAACTTTCATAAAATCCATAATAATATGATATAGATAACAGAAACGAAAGAGTGCTGAAAAATATCTAATAAAATCCCCTCGGTGCTTTTCTCTCAGATGATAGCACTGGGCGCTGTTAGCCACAGGGCTAACCCTGGTTTAAGGGGGCCACAAAGGCCAGACAAGAGAAGACGAGCAGAGATATGTGTAGCTCCCTGCCCTGGAGGCACACTGTAAGTGGGCTGGGGAAGAGACTGTGTGGATGAGGGGGGTTGGGTGGGGGGGGGGGGGGGAGTGACTGGTTCACTGGCTGTCTGCAATGTACTGAAATGATTCCCTTAGCTGCACAATTTGCTTGGAAAGGGAGCAATGCACGGTGCAGAATGGGCAGTGTTTCTGTGCACAGGTGGGGGGGGGAGGGGGCTGGATGCAGATGAGTAAACTAGATGAAAGAAATGGAGATGAGAGGTATGGGGGCCTTATGGCTGTCTGAAGGACGCAGGCTGCTCAGTGACCACAGGAACATTTACCTCTTCTCTTCAGTGAAGCCTCATTAAGCGCTCTGCCCTCATCACTGTCTGCCAACATTATGATGTCTAATAGGCTTGATTGGTCTTAATTGGCCCTGATAAACATTGAGTGGCTGTTGACTGAATCTGATAGCATCCGCTGTGGATTGGTAATGAATTGACTGAATTGCATATTTTTTAGAGGCAAGGATGCCTGAATGGAAATCTTAAATAAATAATTTGTATCTCCGTGAACTGTGCAGTTTGACTGTTTATAAAGCACATAGCTTAAATCACCACCCACATATGGGTGACACGTTGTTAGCTAACTTGATTCTAATTCTGAGACGATTTAATAAAAGCATTTTGTTAATTATTTGATTTTTATGTTAAAGGAACAGCACATATGCTATACATTTTAATAAAACACACATCATTCAATTAAAGTAGTGATCATTACTTGCAAAGAGCGTAATATGGAACCATTCCTCTTATTCCGACATATAAGCATTTACAAACAGGTCAATTCTGACCCAAGGACAACAGGAAGGTTAAGCCTGCACCTGCACCCAGTGTTATAACACAAGAGAAGTTATTTCTCTATATAAAACATGTGCATCTGTACACATGAACAAGAACAACTCCCGGTGCTGAGACTGCCATTTCTACTGGCTGTTAGAGCGGTGGCAGTGTTCCTACAGAATGATGCATGGTGTATTATGACGAGACATTAGCCCATGCACACACTGAATGAAAGTGCCAAGCGAGGACATCACAATAGCCGCAATTCATTTCCCAGGGAGTCCAGCACAATGGGCTAGCAGAGGGGGATCTATCTAAAGCGCTGCATTAGCCGCATGGCCCATTACTCCTTTGTAATGGCTGCATGTATCTGTGCCCTTACATTACGCCTTTGTATTAGCATGAGCAGTGCTTTGTGTGCGCGTGTTTGCTCACCTGCGTCACATGCATGACCTTATAGCATCTTCCCGGTGTACATGTTCACACTCTTCACCACAGAATTTCAGATTGAATGTATTGATTTACTGCTGTTTGTTTACTGATACATCAAGCCACACTGGGACATCCAATAATACACAGCGAGGATCATACTATCCATCACGTGAGTGCTTCAGCGTGCGTCAGCTTGTGTGCCTCCCTAATTGGCTGCTAAGCCTCTTAAGTAGCTGCCACAACTCAAGTGGTGTAGGCTGGCCTGGAAAAACAACATAAAAACAGCACAGAGTCCGACATTACAGGCACACACACACAATCATACACACACTCTGAAACCCGTCAGACATGAAAAGACAGAGATCAATCATCTGTGTTTCTGTATTTATTTTCTAGGATCAAATGTAAATCAGGGATCTGGTTAAAATACATGCTTTTACAATTTTGTGAATTACAAATAATATTTAAGGCCCGAGCGAATGACATATCGAAATCCTTCAAGTTATTATTATTATAACGTACATGAAATGTAAAAGGATTTTTGAGGGCCTAAACGTGCTTAAAAGCTGGATATTGTTGGCACTCTTTCAGGATTGGTCAGGGGTCTAGTTCTTGAGTGTGGGCAAAAAGTCTCTATACTGTACCACCCCCTAGAAAGTTGCTAAAAGGCAGTGGTTTCACCTACAAGTCTGAAACTGGGTAGATATACACTGACAAAACTGAACGTCGACTTTGATTAGATGTATTTTGTCCAGAGATTTCACATAACTGTATCAGTTTAGTTGAAAACAATAAAAAAAAAAAATTAGGTTCAATTTAATATTATTGCTTACAACTAAACTAATACAGTTATATGAAATGTGTTGACATGATATATTTAATAAAAGTCAACGTCTCAGTTCTTTCAGTGTATGTAGCATGGTGAGATGCACTAAAAAGGTTCTTGGCTAGGGCACTGTAAATCACACTTGAATGACTTGAGGGCCGACTGTATTGTGAGTTGCTGCCTCTGTGTTTCTGCACACGTCTGTTGTCAGATCTGTAGTGTGAGGAGCATGCTAGGCTGCAGTCAGACAGGAGGGGTCATGAAGGAGTGACTGTGGCTGGCAGACAGTGAGACGCTCAGCGGGGGGGCCGCTGCTCTGGCTTGATAAGAGCCACAGTGGCATAAGCCTCATCTAGCAGCGCCTGATCAAAATGAGCCCCCAGCCGGGAGGTCACAGTCACACAGGCAAATCCTCCATCACGTGCACACGCTCATACTCACATATACATTACGTGTGTCACTGCAGAAGTATGTAGACTGTCAAACCTATGCTTTTAGGATCTCTCTCTTTGGGATGCTATGGACAGTTAAATCATGTATTAGATGCTCATGGTTTATTAAGTGCTCTTTCAAACTGGAGAGGGATGTGTTCTTCTTGGAAAATAGACAAAGACATTTGGAAGAAAGCAAACATGAAAATGAACAAGCAACTCCGCAAAGAAAGTTGATTTATACATCATGTATATCCCAATAAAATGACATTAAGTCCTTTTGTTGCTTGTTTTTATCTGTAGGTGGTTCAAGTGTATGTAATAAATGTATGTGTGAGCTAAAATCATTTAGAAATATCAGTGGTTATCAAAACATGGCAAATATACATTTGTTAGGAACACATGGAAGTACATAGACCTACATATTGTAAGCTGAGTAACACAATAAAAAAGAGAAGTCATCAGATATACTGTATGGGGGGGAACAGACATGGATAACCCATTCTTCCTTCCACCCCCTTCTCCTCCGCCCTCTTTTCCACATGGCAGCTACTGTCTGCATGCAGAATTCAGGGCTTAATGGAGGGGAGCTAAGTCCTTGGCCACACAGCGGATAAACACTGTACTTTCTCTAAGAGATGCAGTGGCTGTGTTTGTTGCTTTCGTGGGATTCATTCAGGCAGAAAGCACAGAGCAAACACCGTGACAGAATCTAGCTGGTGGCCTGCCTGTCACAGCCGCCTCAGCTCCCCTCCCCTGACCTCTCTGCTCCAGTGTAACTCTTCACTTGAACGGCACTGTACATGATCAGCCAGAGCCTCCAAAGGGACTGTGATGAAAGCAGGCATGACTAATAAACATTTTTGGAAAGCCGACTATAAGAATACACTACACACGTAACCAGAGGTTACTTTGGGAGGTTACTTTAAAAATACATTCTCTTTCCATTACTAATTATCTGTTAAAAAAAACGTAATCCGTAACCTAATTTAAGTATCACAACATAACAAGTTTTTGTTTTTGTCTAAATTCTAAAGTGTCTGCCTTCTGCTTAAAAAAAAGAATGAAAGTAGCATAAATGAAAATCAAAAATGGTTTATGAAGCATTTATCATTTAATGCTTCTTCAAATTAGAAGATTAGTTAAATCCTTGAATAATGACTCTATATTAATAGTTTGAAGGCACTGCTTGCACTGAACTGTATTTGTTCCTATTCCTCCTTTAAACACAAACTGATGGAAACATTTCAACCAGGTGAAACATTATTTGCACTAGAGAGATGATGAACTGGAGGATTAGATATGGTCTTGAGACTCGTTTCACTTGAAACTTGTGAAGTGTTGTAATGTATGCGTATTTACCACGTAAGATATTGTACACTTTTGTTAAATCTATTGTAACATTGTAATCCTGATAGTAATCTAATTTGAAATTGAACCAGTTATCTGATTATGTGTTTTTTGGTGTTCTGATTATGTAATCCGCTACTCTTCGAGCATGTACATAACCCCAAATAAAAAGCGTAATGCAGACGTCACTTTAGAAGCAAGTTTTAAATTGACATTCTAGGTTCTAGGTTTTAAGAGGTGTTTTCCCATGAGACTTACTTTTGACATTGAGATACATGGACTTGCTGACATCAGCTCCAACGTCGTTGCTGACTCTACACAGGTAGAAGCCGCTGTCTTCTTCCAGAACATGCTTGATGAACAGAGAGCCGTTGACCAGCACTTCAATGCGAAAGCCTGAGTTCAGGGCAATGGATCTGAACTGAGGGACCCCGGCGCCTGTGGAGAGCGGACAGAGGGATAAGGATTAGAACAAAAACAGGAAAACATGCAAGGCCGACACAAGTTGTTATTCTTCTTCCTTGTCACAATCACTTAAATGTAAACCCTTCTACAATATGTTCGCACTCGAAGGGGGATGCATCAGTGTCTTTGACCTTTTCAGATATGCCAACACACATAAAATAGATGAAATAAGCATGGGGAAAATACTTTGTGAGGGTTTATTGAAGAACAACAATGATATCATGCATCTGCTGAAGAAGTTCCAATGTTATCCATCAAATCCTCCGTCAATGCTACTCAAATAACCATAAAAGACAAATATTTTCATTTAAATATGTTTTGCTGACAAACTTGTAATCTTTATATCTACGGTATATTTGATTACAATGTATTCATTAGTGTATTTTTGGTTGGTTGAGGGGGGGTAACTGATGTCTGTATTTAGACACAGTGGTGCTATGAGCTAAATGCTTATGTTAGCATACTGTAATGCATACATGCTGATGGTAGCTAAGCAGGTATCATCTTGGATGCTATATTTGTTTAGCATTTTAGCATGCCAAAAATATGTATTAGCAGTTAGCACAAAAACGACTGAGAGGATGGTTATACGTTTATTAGTATTTCATAATTAACTAAAGTATGGAACAACTTGACATAGTGATTGTGCCAGATAAAACAACTGGATAAAAATGCATCCTGAGGATAACATTAATATTTGTTTCAATCTAAAATTTGAACATCATGATCGCACTAGAGGTAAAGTCAGGGTCACCAAAGTCATCAAAGATCAGATACAGATTAAAGTTTCACACATAATCAGTAAGCAATGTCATAATTGACCAAATTTGAAGCAATGGATATTCATTCTTTTAAAACAGTTCCTTTTTGTTGAAAAAAACCCCTGTTATTGTGTTTAGTCAGGATGGGATCATGTAAGTCTAGTGGGTATATAATCTTCCTACTTCTAGAGGAATTAAATGTTCTTCCCTGAACTGCTGAGTTTATTTTTCTTATTCCACAGTGCTTGTTTGGACTAGGTTTTATTATGCATTCAACCTCAAGGCTGTGGGCATTATATTTGTCATGTTAGCATTACAAAAATAATCTTAACATACAATTCAGCTTGGTTGTCAAAAGGTAAATCCAGGTAAACTTAAAAAAACGGTTAAACACGTTCACCAAACCCTGAGTGAAAAGTTGTGTGTTACTGCAGTATTTAATGTGTGTGTGTATGCTATGGGTTTACCTTTCGAGTATTCCCATTGGATGGTAGGAACAGGATATCCTTCAGCAGAGCAGTTTAGGATCACTGCTTTTCCATAGATGCCATCCTGGTCCTTAGGTTGCACCACAAATTTGGGAGGAACTGCAAGACAAGAAGCCATTATATTACTCCCATTCATCTGGACACCAAATATCTGTGTCTATGTCTACTGATCAAAAACAGCTGCATTTGAAAGCAATTTCTTAGGGTCTTTCGATCTTCATTTGGAACGGTGAACATTTCGGCTCATAGTTTCAAAAGTTGAAACATAGTTACATCTTTCAATGTATTCAGGGAGAAATATCAAAGACCAATATCACCACACGAGGTTGGTGGACAACTCGTATTTATTTCAACATCTCTAACCTTAACCCTAACCCTAAAATCTTCGCAATGATTTCTGCTTGTAGAGTTGGCTTCAGTTAAACCATGCCTTTCCATTTCTTCGTATCCCAACTTTCTGTTGACTGCCCCCTCCTTACCTCGGACAATGAGCTGGCTCTGGTGCTCTACGGCGGCGGCCTGGTTGCGTGCAATGCAGGTGTAGTTCCCATTGTGCATCAGTGTAAGGTTGGAGACTCGCAGGGAGCTGGTGAAGTCTATGTTGTCTATGGTGACACCCAGGCTGGCCGGGATTGGCCGACCATCCTTCTGCCAGGTGATGAAGACGGGCTGGTCGCCGGACATGACCACGCAGGGGATGAAGACTCGCTGGCCGATAGAAAACCGAGGAAACTCAAATGGGTGGATGGTAGGTGGAACTGGGGAGGAGACATTCAAAGTTATTTTCACCTCAGACCTGTGGGTAATACATCCCTTTGATTAAGGTCAAACAAAAGCAAATGTTTTTGGGGTAGCAGCTTGAGAATCAAAGGTCGCCTGTTCAAGTCCCAGAATGGACTAAGTACCGAGTGTGGACTGGCACTTGGAAAGGTATCAGTGCGCCTCGTGGGCACTGCAGCCGTGTACTTAAGCAAGGCACTGGCCCCCCTACTGCTAACCGGGAGCTGTATAGTAGCCAAACACTGCTCCTAATACTAGGATTTGAAATGCAAAGACTAAAGGAGTGTGTGCGGTGCTGTGTAACTGTGTGACGATTAAAAGAGGAATTTATTCAAATCCCCCATTTCCATTTGTATACATGCATTATTCCCTCCTTATCACCTCTCTCCCATTAAACATCACACTCTGATTTGATTTTATTACCTATTGCCACGTATAGCGGCTGAATTCTCACTCAAACAACATTCATATTACACTTTCTCACTGTCTTTTGCTCTCTGGGGAAACTGTAGCGATCATGAGAACCAGATGCTTTGGAAAATTAAAATGATTTAAAATAACATTGGAATAAGCTGCACTTCAGCGCTTATTTAATTCACAACAAAATAGGCATAATAGGCTCCTGGGGATTCCCTCTCGGCAGCGATGGAATGCTAAGCAGCCGAGAGGCAAATTAGCCGAGGCGGAATGGCGGCATGGCTTTGCCTACTCTGTGTGATCTCCCCCTCGCACACTTGTTAGCACGTCAAGACCTGCCGGTGAGAAAAACGGAAGGGGGGTTGCCCATCCGACATTTCAAATTATGCAGCGTCATTGAAGAAAGAAAGCCATCTGAGGTTATCATCATACGGCTCAGATCAGCGCCACTGCATATTCAGATGAGCCCCAGATAAGCTGGCTGGGAGGGTGGAGACGCTGCTTTGCTGTCAGAGATGTCTCTGCCTATCTGTGTTTTCTGTGACAGGGAAAGATAGACGCTAAGCGATGCTTTAATGTATCTTTAAGCATGCACGCCTGCTGGTCAGTGTGGAGACTGATGAAGTGTTCGCATCCACCAACCAACAGGTCAATGATGAAGTACCCAGGAATGAACTCTAGGAATCCCTTGGTATGATACAGTGTGTATGTACATCTCAAATAAATGGATGTTTACTTGACAGACAGCTCATATTCATGATGGAGTACCAATGATTACAAACAACTACAGTTAGTTACCTTAATCTTATGCTTGTATCCTATATATACACTGACAAAACTGAAACGTTGACTTTAATTAAATGTATTATGTCAAAAGATTTCACATCACTGTATTAGGTTAGCTGAAAGCAATAATATTACGTTTAAAATATATAGAAATAGGTTTAACTTAATATTATTGCTTTCAACTAACCTAATACAGTGATGTGAAATGTGTGGACATAATATATTTGATTAAAGTCAGTGTTTCAGTTTTTTCAGTGCTGGCTTACTATCCCATGTTGAGTCATGAACTGTGAGTGGAGACAGATGGAGGTTCATACCTTTCACAGTAATATAGACGCTCTGGTGTGTGGAGAGCTGCGGCTGCACCAACACGTTGCAGGTGTATTCTCCTTCATCCACATCCTTCTGCACATCAAACAGCTTCAGGGTGCCGTTGTTCTCAAAGGCCCGCTGCCGGTGGTTGTAGGGCAGCAGATTGGAGTCCTTGTACCACTTGATGGAGTAGTACGGGTAGCCAATGACACGGCAGTGGATGTACATGTCCCGCCCAGCGATGGCAGTGAGGTTTTTCATTGATCTGATGCTGGCAGGCCCTTGAAGAACACATTGGAGAGACAACTCTCTTAAAACGATTTTTAGGCGGGGGGGTGGTATAAAAGATAGTTGTGTTGTATTGTGTATGCTTTTAAGACACCACAAAAAAAATTCTTAATCATGCCTTGCTTCATTCTGATTGACCAATTATTGCAAGAATTTATTTGCAATAACACGAAGGAACGTAAATCGTACATTAATCATAACCAGCATACCCTTTCTGCTCTGTTTTTCTCCATGTTCTTTTTTATGCAGAACCAGGGACTCGTGTACCCTTCTATCCTATCCTGTAGTGATTATTACCTTGCGCTCCAACCTCTTTGGTTCTGGCTGTAATTGCCTATGACAAGCATTAGAGTGGAATGTTCCCTTTCTCCACTCATGAAGCTATTATCAAAACCATTACTCATGTTGCCAGCTTTCGCACACACTTCTGAAAAACCAACAGAATACCCAATAGGCTTCCATAGCTCAGTGTCTATCAGGAAGATGGACGATTAGGCTTCTCTTTAAAGCACTATAGAAGACAGTTTAACTAGGCTCTGTAGTGTACTTCTTATGCACAAGCATATCCTGGGTTGCTACTCTCTTTAGCACGATTAAGGAGCCAACGATGTGAGAAGCAGTCATTACACTTTCCCTGCAATGGCACCTGTGGAGATCTATCTTCATTGCTTCACTGCATTCGGCATCCGTGGACCCTCGCTTAAGGCCTACAGGATCGCCCTATTAGCCTTACAACATGCAAGAATGAACACAATCAAATCAAACCTATAAATGTACAGAATGTAGCCTTCCCCCTCTGCAACAGAGAAATACAAGTAGTCTTGCAACCAGCACAGAACGCTGCCCAGTATTTCTACTACATGACAACAGCCAGACAGCTAGGCTAACAGTAAATCACCCTAAAGTCCTCCCAATATGAAGCTATCAGCAGTAGACAGGCTTTATAAACATTAATGATCATACCATTGATGGTTGATCGTATTAGCCATGATGCTACAATAACACGTTTCTAAAGGAATAACTTACTCAGACGTTCTTTTAACCTCTACAATTCCAGGCACTCTAAAGGTAGCCGATCAAAAAGGTACAAAAGCAGAATAAATCAGGACATGTTGATGTGTATGTGATGGTGTGTTGGAAGAGTTGATCTGACAAGCACCTCTTACGTTTATTCGCGCCTGGTAGGAAACGGTCCCGGCCGAGTTGTTGCAGATGCAGCGATACACCCCTCCGTCTGGCACCTGGGTCTGGCTGATGTTCAGGTGGCTGACCGCATGGCCCTCGGTGTTGCTGTAGTGGGAGATGCGGTGACGGCTGTCCCGTATCACAGGTTCGTCATCCAGAGTCCACGAGACCCGGGGCTCCGGCGTGCCCTTCACCGTGCACGACAGTGACACAAACTCATTGATGTTGTAGACCTTCTCGCTGAATGAAGCCAGGATCTTGGGGGTACCATCTGGGAGGGGGAGGAAGATGTTTATGTCATTACTCTTCAATAATTATTGTCATTGATCATCTATTCAGAATCCAGACTGATTTGCTTTTAAATTGCAATAGATTCATGTCTTCTGTATTAAAAGCAGTATCAGTGTAAAGTAGATTAATACAGCTCCTTTCTCTAGCTCCACAACATCATTGATTATCAATATTCTCCTTACATTGGGGTGTTCATGGGAGGTAGAAATTACAGCAGCCTAGCTTGTGCAACAGTTTGTGAGCCCCTATCAGAAAATTTACTGCATCACCAAATAGCACATACATAGGTTTGATTGGAACATGAACACACAGACAGTTTGTATTTACTTTTGCATACACAATACTGGTACTCACAACAGAAAGAGATTATACACACAAAGTACTGTATAATATCTCCTGCAACCAACACCTCTCCAGTAAGATCACTGTGAATTCTCACCTTCCAGGATGACTTGAACAAAGTCCTGGGCGGACATCTTGGCGTGTCTGGCGAAACACTGATAGGCTCCTCCATCGCTCTTGGCCATACCAGCCATGACCAGATTCTCCCTGTTTTGGCCCGTCATGCGAACGCTGTTGCTGGGGTAGATGAGCTCTCCGTTGCGGTACCAGGATAAGTGGTACTCCTCTGAGCCTGTTACGCTGCAGGACAGTGACACCTGGCTCCCAACGCTGCCTTTCACCTTTCGCGGGCTCACCACAACCTTCAGCTGTTCTGTAGATCAGAGAGAACCGTTGATGTTTTTAACAGATGATTCGAATATTTGGACGTATGTGTGTTTCTGTAGTTTTATCAAGGCATCATGATTGTTTTGCCAGTGAAGGTTTAAAAGGCTACTGCTGTGCCTTAGAACACTACATGTCGTACACTGTGAACACTTGCCCACACTGCCGCTGTGCCCTCACAGGAAGGTTCCTCCTTCTTACCATGTGAGAATATTTACTTTAATGCTAGCTAGCAAAGTAGTAGTTTGAAAAACAGTGATTTATTTTCAGCAACAGTGTTGTGGTTTATTAGATATTGAAGAAAAACATTTGTATAACCTTTATTTGTACAGACTAAACGCAGCGGGTTTCTCCAAGATAGCAATCGTGTGAGAAGTGTCCAGCGTTCCCTAATCAACGTATTGGTACCCAAATGTGCACCATTTGGGTACATACAGTTCAATGCATTTTGCCATACTTGGCATTGGGATGCAATTATGAACTCAAAAAGAGCCCGTGTAATTAAAGAAATACGCTATTTGAGGCTATGTCTTGAAAATCAACCCAATCAACGAATTATTGGGTTGATTTGGGTCACTGACCTATAACCAGCAGCATGCCAGCCACCTCAGCGTTTCCATATCCATTCCACACTTCACACACATACGTCCCTGTGTCGCCGGGCTGGGTTCTCTCTATCAGCAGGCCTGTCACACTCTGTCTGAAGCGAGGGTCGGGCTCCAGCGGCCGGTTGTCCTTTAGCCAGCGGTATTTGGGTGCGGGGTGACCGGAGGCCTTGCAGGGCAACTCCACTCGATGAGAGCCCATGACCTCACGACGCTCGAAGCTGTCCAGGATGTGGGGCGCTGAGTTGGTGGGGTCTGCATGAGCGAATTAGGGTACAGTAAGAGATTTTTGTTATTTTTGTCTCAACACTCAATACAAATAAACCACATTCTGATACATATCGAATAACAGGGAGATTTATGTTTTATCTGGATTAACTCCATCATGCAACTTAATATATTTTCTGTTGAGACCCAATGTGCCCTTCGGACTGTTTTAAACCCAGTCCAAGAGGACCTCATGTTTTCACTGGTTTAGTAGAACCCCTCGTAACAAGTTAACTCTTCATGTGTAAAGTATTTCCCTTTGTATGGGTTTGAGGTAAGGGAGGAGATGTTCTGTCCTGAAGCCATCCCTATAAACTCTGATGACCTTTATCACATGTCATCTCCTCTTTAATTCATGTATTTTTGCTGTCACTCTCCATTCAATCACATGTTCCAGATGTTCTTTAGAAGCAAAGATCTATTTCCAATTGGTCTGCTGTCACTGTGTCGTTCCAACCAGAATCAACATTTAAATTAAAAGCTAAATGAAACCAGATCATCTAATACTGAGCACATTATTGGCTTTTTACAGTAAAACAGATTAGATCCAAAAAGAACAATTTGAAAGAGCTACAGAATGTGATGCTAATGCACAATTTTAACATATATCCATATAATTGTGTTTGAGTTACCTGAGACAATGAGGCGGGCACTATTGCTCTGTCGAGTCTCTCCTGTGTACCGATGGCGTGTCATACACCTGTAGTTGTACAGCCCGTCTTCCATTTGCACATCCAGGATATACAGGGCTCCGGTGGATGTGATGAGAAACCGTGACACTGGAAAATAAAACATCATTCAACATTACTGATGAACAATGCAATTTAAAACAGCTACCCATGAACATGGCTACTACCTGTGGGCCAACCAGAGTCCAGATATTTCACCTTTATTTGACCTCCAAGCTATGTATGGTCAATCAGAATAGTGTTGAACAGTGTTGAGCTTCTAGAGTCTGTACAACACAGTCCATCTGAGAGCGAACACAGCCTGCAGACTGAACGCTCGACTGCAGGATCTGTCACCTGTCCTCATTTAATGACTCCCCACTCAGCTTACTGTACATTGTATTCTTAAGTATAAACTTATTCTTAAGTATACACGTAAGTGCCTCAAGGATGTTGTTTATGGTTCTGTTTTTACAAATGGCACTTTCTAAACAAATAGTTACAGTAAATAGATTACAGAAAACAGTAAATAAATTGGTTCTTAATGTAGAAAATACGAAGTGTATGGCATCTGATTCCAAATGCTGCACAAATGTTACACTTGACGATAAAAATATTTAGATATTCACGTAACAGATGCAAGGCTATTAGTGACTGTTGATAGGAAAATGTCTTAGATCAAATGGTGGTAAAAATGGGCTGCTATAAAACACTGTGCATCATGTCTGCAAGGGTTTTTTTCATCAATAAAAGCATTGAATCATACAGTTGTATCAGGAATAATGATTTGGCTTGGTTAAGCGTAAACAAACAATACATATTATTCTCTAGTATGCCCCATTACAAATATCACTATACCTCAAAGAACTGTTGTACAGACAGACATCAATATTCTATTCAACAGTCATCAGAAAAGTTTATTATGGTGGCATGGAATTCATTACCAAATGTGTTTGATTCCTAAATATGGTAATTGATAATAAAAGGAATAGTGTAGAAAATTAAAAAAATATTGTTATATCTTGTGATATAAATGAAAAGAGCTATCCATGATCTAGTATAGATACTTTGCTATGTGATTTATTTATTTTGAAATGTCACATTGTGAGCAGGAGTGTTAAGGATGTGTAATGTTGTTAAAAATACAAATGATGAGAGAGAATGTGGATCTATATATACACATTAGTAGTGCTGACACAGGAACAAGATACTGGATCATATATCGTTTTTTAACACTGAACGTTGGGACCTCACAACAAATCAATACAATCCTGAAAATGCCCACTTGGATCAAATCTACTTTGTATCCATGTTTTACCAAAAGCAATGTCTGAAAAACTGCAAGTGAGACATGAAACAAACAAAAAAGAATAAGTTGCCTCCAGATTTCATCACAGGAGACAACCAACATCTTATAACCAATAACATTCTACAGTCCTTCTGTGTGTATTCAGTCTTATGCACTCGAATACCTTAAATACAGATACAGAAAATCCAATTTTGAAGTCTCTTAGCAAATATTTGCAAGTCAAGTGAGTAACGCAGCTCTGTGGTTGTAGTCACCAAACATCTGCTGCAGCCCATTTGGCGCAGCGCAGCTCTGAGGCTCTGTGACAAGGCTGTGTGTTGTGCAGCAGTGTAACACAGCTCGTTATCATGTAGCTCATCGCTCTGCTCTCTCTCCCTCTCGCTCTCTGAGGGATCACAGAGCGCTTTGATAAGCCATGGCTGCGCAGGTCGGCTGTGCTCATATAATGCTAATGTTATGCTAATGTGTGTGAACGCATAGAAGTGGAGGGAGGCAGTCAGTTTTTATGAGGAGTGATGTGTGTGCTGTAGCCGGTGGCTGCCGGGGTATTTCCTGTCAGCGATGATGGAGAAGCCAATCTGGGACGGGGATCAAGTGGGGCCGCCATATGCTCGGGGATTAAGGCAATATTGGTAGAGATATCATAATGCAGACTTTATGGGGTGTTGAATTACTCTCATTTTGTCTTGTCATGACAGTTTAACGCAGATGAAGGCTGCTGGTACCAGCCTGTGCACAGTGCATGCTAGACAAATGGAAGGAGGTGCAATCTATGATCATTGTATTATATGCAACAATCAATCATCCATTACTGCTAACATCATCAACATTTATTTTGGTTTCTCAAGAAAATCTCAAGAAATCTGATTGGCCACTTCGAGATTCTTACATTCGCAGACAATGGATGGAGTGGCGACTTCCAACATGTTTACAGACAACAGTAATGGTGCAGTGAGAAAGAAGAAATGAGAGGACAGAGAGGAGTGGGAGGAGAAACTGAGAAGTAGAGGAAGAACACAGGGAAGAACAAGAGGTACACACTCTTATTTGGACTAGTGTAATATCCAAATTGCAGTAAAAGCAATATGTAAAAATATAATTTTGATTTAAGTATTGTGGGGCTGCAGAGATGTTCTGGCTGCTTACAATATGACTTTTTGTATTTAAGTGTACATTTCTGACCATGCCTTCACTTCATCTACTGTCAGTTGTATCCTCTTCTCTTCGTCGGCCCGCCCAGCTGCTTTGGCATCGATGAAGTCACAAACACAAGACCCTTTCATTGGATCCCTACTCAATAGCTTCAATTATTCCGCATATAAGCCACACTAAACCTCCAAGAAGACTCTTTGTTCATTCAAATTTCACTTTACTCTTCCCTCAAACATAACTTGTTTGTGAGACTTAATTAGAACAGTAAGTAAAGACTGAATCATATCCATACAATAACATTGTTAATCTTTGCAGTTTGCTTCTGGTGTAGGGGTAATGTTACTGGAATCACTGGCTAATGTGGCAAGGACTAAAAGGAAAGAATTCCCGATCAGGTTTTATTAGTATAATGTGTAGGAGAGAGAGAGACAGAGAGAGGGAGAATAAAGGATCAAGAGGGAAGAGCGCCTCTGGGATACATCCACTCTCTGTCATCTAAAATGACTTACAAATTAGCTTACAGCTATGCGCTCCCAGTGAAGAAAAAAAGACTTTCATATGCAAAGTCAGATCAGAGCTAAGCAGAGCAATCAAAAAAAATCTGTCAGTATAACAGATCTGAACCCAGTCCCTCTGTCTTTGCTCCTAACACTCTATGCTGTCAGTACAGCATATGAGATGCGGTGAAGATATTGTAAGAAGCTACTGACTAAAAACTGACTTGAGTAAATCTGTTTACATATTAGCAGATCTGCATGCAGTGCAATCCTCTAAGTGTTTCATTGTTTACAGTACAGTACACCTACAACTCCTTGTGTCACCTGAGCTCAGACTTCTATTTTCTCTTTGTCTCAGTCATGGTATTATTAGATGTCAGTGCTGCATTTGTCATAGTTGATGACAACATATTTATAGACTGACTGGAAACTCAGAGGGGCTTTCTGCCACAGTAGTACATCAGTTGGAATCCTAATAAAAGGATAGGAAAATCTTTCTTTCTATGGGTGATTACACATTTGAGCGGTAAACTATGACATGCGGAGTTCCTCAAGGCTACATCCTGGGGCCCTTTAATCTTTAACATCTACATGCTTCCGCTGGCTCAGATTATGGAAAACAGCAACACTAGGGGACTATGTTTCAATAGAAGCACTGAGTAAGTCAAATGAATGACTTCAACATACTACTGTTGGTTTATAAAGCACTGAATGTTTTAGGGCTAAAATACTTTTCTGATCTTCTGCTCCATTATGAACCATCCAGAACATTCAGGGACAGGCCTGCTTTCTGTCTCAACAGTCACAACTAAACATGGAGAAGCATTATTGACTGATTTGACATGTATTTAAATATAATCTTAATGCATTTCATATTTTTTGTAAAACACTTTCAATTGCCTTCTGCTGAAATGTGCTTTAAGTTGCCTTGCCTTTGAACTTTCAAAGCTCTGACCTATCAACACCAACAGTCTGGACGCCCCTTGCAAGAAACCCGTGGAGTCAGCTAAACAATGCAGATAAATTGCTTCCTCATCACTCTGCTGGCAGTGCACCCCCTCCGCCTGTGTAACTGTCTTGGAGTGTATTAGTGAGGGGAGTGTGGTCCCTGGAGACAGTACAGTGTCCCCGTAACCTTGGCTACTCAAAGTCATACAACATGAAAAAAAATAGGGTTGCTGCTCATACTGTACAGTCGCAGCATCAATCACTACGATTCACTAAAACAATTATCTTGAGGTGGTAAATTAATAGAAAAACATAGGGTGCGGTAATACTTCAAACATGTTCTTTTTGAAAATGTGTCTTGACAAGATATTTTAAGATGAACCCACCAATTAGCAATGTAAGATCAATTTGTGCTTGGAATTTATTTATAAATAAAATAATTCTAATTTTTTTGGGAGGATGTTGGTGTTGCATACTCAATAATCTGCATCAAAAGTAATGCAATTCTCTAATTTATTTACGTTTGCATCTGTAACATTCAAAGCAACAATAATATGTCTCTTATTATGATAGACACACAACATGGAACTCCCTGATGATGAGTGTTTGGAAATTGTATTGATGTAACAGTTACACATTCATCAAAAGATTCTTGGAAAGCACTGTCAAATTGAATTCACATTTAGTAAAATGGAAACTGCCGCCATAACACTGCCATATGCGGCGCCACATTGTTTCCCACTATGAAAATGTCACACAGTGACTGGCGCCAGAATGCAGAGTGGTGTGTGAGTAATAATGAGTGTATGATGAGCCCAGGAGGGCCTGTGTTGTAATTAGGCCCGCTCACAGTTATTGGCACACTGACTCCAGTTTGATCAGGCTGGGATAAGCATGTCTATGGAGCGGGGGATCCCACCAATTTAGAGACCCTCTAATAAAAACCATTTGTCATTCTTACAGGAGGCAACCTGACAGCTGCTGTGGTTGGCATGGCAACACACAGACCTCTGTTGCTTACCAAGCAAGATTCCCAGAGTGTACTGTAAATGGTGGACGGGAGGAAACACACAGGTATACTGTCCAGTCAAATGTTTCAACGCTTACACACATGCAAAATAAATATATCAAAATAAAGTGAGAAAATAAAGCAATTTTTCTTTTACTTTGATTTCAATTATCATCAATGTCACATAATACATTGT